CTTGTTTTACAACGTCGTTGCCAAGCGACGAAAACCCAACCCCGATGGCAAACACCGGGGGGGGAATGGGGGCCGCAAAATTGATTGCAGGGCGAACCGTCTGTTGTTTGTCTCACCGTACGTCGACCTGCCGCCGAGTTGTCGCCGTTATTTTCGAGAGCCGGCATGCCACCCCCATGTTGCCCTTGACTACGCAGATTGTTTCCCTCCGCAGTTGCGACCACTGCTGCAGACTCCAGTGCGCCTGTGTCCGCCCGCTGACCGTTCCCCCCGGCACCCTCTCTCGCCTCTCCCCCCTGCACGACCCTCTCCTGCTCGCCAAGGGGCACGCCTAAGTCCCTCATTACAGCCTGCAGCCGGTCCTCTATCGGCTGCGCGTCTTCCTCCGACTGGTGGTGATCCTCCCCAAGCAACAACCGCGCTGCGGGGGGGCTTCCCCTACCTCCCTCGCGCTCCTGCCTCTCTGTCTCCACCCCGCGCTCCGCGCCAACACCGACCCTCCCCGAGCCAAGCTCGCGTCGTCTCCGCGACCCGCCTTGATCGGCGACAACCCTTCGGGTGTGGGGACGATAAGCATCCTCCCGTATCGCGACGGTGAGACCCTCGTTCGCCGGTAGCGGCACTCGGGAGGCGGCGCTGCCGCGGCCGCTGCTTCCAGACCACGTAGCCCGGCGAGGCCCCAGATCTCGTTCTGGTAGGAGGGAGTGGGCCCTTGGGCCACCACCGGCGGTGGCATTGTCGTTGGTGCGAGCTCTAGAACGGCCACTCTTAGGAGAGACGTGTAGCTCTTGTGCTGCAGGCACGGGTTGGGTCTGCGAGCATTTTTATTGTTCGCAGCAGGGGTCACAAGATTCATGGTTCCGGGAGGGGGAAGCGATTGCTGGATTTTTGGCGGCGAAGAAAGCTCGCGTGCCTGATAGTGATATTTGCGAAGGGGAGAACGCGTGAGTCGTACACTGATTGACATTGAGCTTCGATCCTACCACGATTTTACTCCCGCACGCTACACAGGGATGGGTGTATGGGCTGATAACTAACCAAGTAGGTACAGGAAACAAGAGGGGGGATTGCAGCACGCGAGTAGCAAGCATGTCGTCGCGAGCGTATTTTTACAGCAACAACTACCTATTTCTGCGAACGATGCTTGGCCCTTTGCACCGTGCTCACCTTCCCAAACGGAGATCGCTGGACCGAAGATGGTTTCCCGTTTTTCTTGGGGCTTTTCTTTTCGGGTGATCTGAACGACGGCCGGCGGGTTGGTCTGCCGCCACCCTTGGCACCACCGCCGTCGTCGCCGTTCTTGGGCGTGGCGGCGACGGTGGCCTCGGCGTCGGCGTTAGCGTTGATGGCGTCGACGAGCCGGCGAAGGTTGCGTTCTTCCGGGCTGTCGGACACCGGTTCGGTCATCGTCCCACCATATTCTACCGGGAGGAGCTGCACAGCAGTGGGGTAGAGGGGGTGGCTGGGTGTCACCAACCCGTCTATCACTGAGTTTCAGGCAAACAAACAAACTACTACACAGTCACACCGCTGTGGCGTGCCTATTTCTCTTCTCCGACTGAGCAAACGGGATCTCACACCGAGATTTTGGCGGACGACGAGCGCCTCAAACGACGCGATACATGTTGGCGGGTCAAGACGAAAATGACCCCATTCCCTGCTGCCAGGCCGCCGCCCTGTGTGAGCCTCCATGACATCACTTGTCAGTCAAATCGCGACTACGTCCCGTCCCCCGTCCCCTTCTTCGGACCCCCCCCCCCGAAGTTTACTGGTAAGTGGAGATTGTCTGCCAACGTTAAGAAGAGTGCCGCCATGGTATGTAACGAGAACAAGGAGGAACCAGTTGAACATAGATGGAAGTGGGGGATCGAGGAGATTGCAGTAGTGGACCAGTACACATACCTCGGAGTAGAGATCGCAAAAGACTGCTCGTGGAATGCACACATGTCCAAGGTAGCGGAAAAGGGCAAAGCACGAGCAGGGAAGCTGCACCCAATACTCGCAAACCGGCACCTCGATACACGCATCAAATTGACGGTTTTGAAGAGCGTAATCGTACCGCCGCTAGAGTACGCCGGAGAAGTATGGGAAGGAAATAAGAAGGTAGTGAAAGAACTCGAGGCGGCGCAGATGAAAGCAGCGAAAATCATCCTAGGATGCTCCACGCGCACAAGTAATGCAGCCGTGAGGGCAGAATTGGGGATCCAATCCCTACGGTCGGGAAGAGACGCGAGGAAGCTGACCTGGCAGTATCGCATGTGCGGGATGGGAGAGGAGAGGTTGCCGAGGATTGTATGGGAGGCGAAGTGGGCAAACAAAAAGAGGGGTAGACAACCCACGGAATGGGTCAAGGTTGTAGAGGACGTATGGAAGGGGCTCGACATCGACGAAGATGAAACGCTGGAAACGGAGGGTCTACAGGGGTTCAAGGAGAAGATATCTGTTGCTTGTGCCGAGAGAGAAGAACAGAATCTGAGGAAAGAATCCAAGGATAAGGAGGGTCTAGAAGTGTACGGAATGTTGAAGGAAGGAATAGGGTTCAAGGACTACCTACATGGACCAATGGATGCAGGAACAAAGCTTAAGGTCAAATTCAGGACCGGGGACAAAGGCCTACGAGAACGTCGACGAAGACGACGAGTTCAAATGTGATTGCGGCTTCGAATGCGAAGACCGTGTTCATGTAGTCGCGGAATGTCCGTTGTACAAGAAGGAGAGGGAAGTGTACGTGACTGAGCTGGGAAAAAGAGATGGGACGTGCAGGGAGATGTTTGGGCCATGGAATAGAGAGGGGAGGACGGTAGCTGTACTGGGGCATAGGAGGTGGGTTGAAAAGGCGGGAAGGGGTATCGTTAGGATAGACAGACTAGGGAAGACCTTTTTGAGACA